AAGAGGAAAAACATTGTGTAAGGCTTTCATGGCTGGCATTACTGGGTTGTTGTGTGTTTTCCAGACTGTATGGCCATGTTCCAGAAGCATTCTCTTCTGATGTTTCTCCTGCATCTATCAATGCAGGTGAAATGTCAGGAGAGAATGCTTCTGGAACATGACCATACAGCCCGGGAAACACATAATAACCCAGAGGAAATACATGTTCTCCAACTGGGCGGTCGGATTGGTCAAATTCTGGTTGGAAACCCCAAGTAGAACAAAGAAATCGCTCTCTCAAAATGGCTAGTCAATCTTATGTATGTAACATGTAACATAATATGCATGTATAAAATTGTTTCCCTCCTTTCTTTACCTTTTTTGGGGAGATAAGGAAAGGGGTTGATAGGACAATTTGCGAAAATATGTAAACAGACACAATTGATGATGGGTATTGTTTCACAACATAGCTTGAAAATACATTCATTATGTATCCATTATGTATGTAACATGTAACATGCAACATGTAACATGCATATATAAAATTGTTTCTCTCCTTTCTTTACCTTTTTTGGGGGGTAAGGAAAGGGGTTGATAGGAAAGCTTGCCAAAGGATGTAAACAGATACAGTGGATGATGGGTATTGTGTCAAAACATAGCTTGAAAATCCATTCATTATGTATCCATTATGTATGTATGTAACATGCAGCATGTAATATGTATATATAAAATTGTTTCTCTCCTTTCTTTACCTTTTTTGGGGGGGTAAGGAAAGGGGTTGATAGGAAAGTTTGCCAAAAGATGTAAACAGACACAGTGGATGATGGGTATTGTTTGAAAAATAGCTTGAAAATGTATTAATTATGTATGTAACATGTAACATGTAATATGCATGTATAAAATGGTTTCTCTCCTTTCTTTACCCTTTTTTGAGGAGGTAATGAAAGGGGTTGATAGGAAAGTTTGCAGAAAAGATGTAAACAGACACAGTGGATGATGGGTATTGTTTGAAAACATAGCTTGAAAATTGAGTCATTATGTATCCATTATATATGTAACATGTAACATGTAATATGCATATATAAAATTGTTTTTCTTCTTTCTTTACTTTTTTGGGGGAGTTAAGGAAAGGAGTTGATAGGAAAGTTTGCCAAAAGATGTAAACAGATGGGCATTGTTTAAAAACATAGCTGGAAAATCAATTCATTATGTATCCATTATGCATGTGGCATGTAGCATGTAACATGTAACATGCATGTATAAATGTTTCTCTCCTTTACCTTTTTTTGGGGAGGTAAGGAAAGGAGTTGATAGGAAAGTTTGCCAAAAGATGTAAACAGATGGACATTGTTTAAAATCATAGCTTGAAAATCCATTCATTATGTATCCATTATGTATGTAACATGTAGCATGTAGCATGTAACACACATGTATAAAATTGTTTCTCTCCTTTCTTTATCTTGTTTGGGGGGAGGTAATGAAAAGGATTGATAAGAAAGTTTGCGAAAAGATGTAAACAAACATTTGATGGTAGTTATTGTTTCACAACATAGCTTGTAAATCCATTAATTATGTATCCATTATGTATGTAACATGTAACATGTAGCACATAACATGCAACATGCATATATAAAATGGTTTCTCTGCTTTCTTTACCTTTTTGGGGAGAGGAAAGGAGAGGCGTTGATAACAAAGTTTGCCAAAAGATGTAAACAGATGGGCATTGTTTAAAAACATAGCTTGAAAATTCATTCATTATTTATGTAACATGTAGCATGTAGCATGTTACATAACATGTAACATGCATGTATAAAATTGTTTCTCTCCTTTGTTTACCTTTTTTGGGGGGGAGATAAGGAAAGGGATTGATAGGAAACTTTGCAGAAAAGATGTAAACAGACACAGTGGATGATGGGCATTGTTTCAAAACATAGCTTGAAAATCCATTCATTATGTATCCATTATATATGTAGCATGTAGCATGTAACATGCATGTCTAAAATGGTTTCTCTCCTTTCTCTTTACCTTTTTTTGGAGAGAGGTAAGGAAAGGGGCTGATAGTAACCTTTTTGGGGGGGGGAGGTAAGGAAAGGGATTGATAGGAAATATTACGAAAAGATGTAAACAGACACAGTGGATGATGGGCATTGTTTTAAAACATAGCTTGAAAATCCATTCATTATATATCCATTATGTATGTGATATGTAGCATGTAACATGTAACATGCATGTATAAATGTTTCTCTCCTTTACCTTTTTTTGGGGAGGTAAGGAAAGGGCTTGATGGGAAAGTTTGCCAAAAGATGTAAACAAATTGGCATTGTTTAAAAACATAGCTTGAAAATCCACTCATCATGTATCCATTATGTATGTGATATGTAGCATGTAACATGTAGCATGTTATGTAACATGTAACATGCATGTCTAAAATTGTTTCTCTCCTTTCTCTTTTCCTTTTTTTGGAGAAAGGTAAGAAAAGGGGTTGATAGTAACCTTTTTTGGGGCGAGGTAAGGAAAGGGCTTGATAGGAAATATTACGAAAAGATGTAAACAGACACAGTGGATGATGGGCATTGTTTCAAAACGTAGCTTGAAAATCCATTCATTATGCATCCATGATGTATGTGACATGTAGCATATAACATGTAGCATGTTATGTAACATGTAACATGCATGTATAAAATTGTTTCTCTGCTTTCTTTACCTTTTTGGGGGGAGGTAAGGAAAGGAGTCGATAGGAAAGTTTGCCAAAAGATGTAAATAGATACACATTGGGTTGTTGTAGGTTTTTTCAGGCTATATGGCCATGGTCTAGAGGCATTTTCTCCTGACGTTTCACCTGCATCTATGGCAAGCATACCTCTACAACCCAGTGATTCCGGCCATGAAAGCCTTCGGCAATACAGATACACATGGTTTCAAAACATAGCTTGAAAATCTATTCATTATGTATCCATTATGTATGTGACATGCATGTATAAGATTGTTTCTCTCCTTTCTTTACCTTTTTTTGGGGAGGTAAGGAAAGGAGTTGATGGGAAAGTTTGCCAAAAGATGTAAACAGACACAGTTGATGATGGGTATTGTTGTATCAAAACATAGCTTGAAGATCCATTCATTATGTATCCATTATGTATGTGACATGTAGCATTTAGCACGTAACAGGCAACATGCAACATGCAACGTGCATATATACAATTGTTTCTATGTAACATGTAATATGCATGTCTAAAATTGTTTCTCTCATTTCTTTACCTTTTTGGGGAAGGTAAGGAAATGAGTTGGTAGGAAAGTTGATGGGCATTGTTTAAAAATCCATTCACTATGTATCCATTATGTATGTGACATGTAGCATGTAACATGTAGCATGTTATGTAACACGTAACATGCATGTATAAAATTGTTTCTCTCATTTCTTTACCTTTTTGGGGGGGACGTAAGGAAAGGGCTTGATAGGAAATATTACGAAAAGATGTAAACAGACACAGTGGATGATGGGCATTGTTTCAAAACATAGCTTGAAAACCCATTCATTTGGCTCTGGGTGTGCAATTCCTCCCCTTCCACGAAGTCAATAGTAATGCCAAAAGTGGGAAAGAAAAGGAAGTCCTTCCATTGGGTTTAATTTCCTCCCCAAATTGACACAATCATTAGAGAGAGGGAGAATTGTACATCTCTGGGTTGGACTCCCTTCTCCTCTTCCTTTTGAGGGGAGTTCAATCAGATCTATTATATACTAGCTGTCCCCTGCCATGTGTTGCTGTGACCCAGTCTGGTGATCTGGAAAATAAAGTAATGAGAAAGTGT